GTTTCTGTAGTGTAGTGGTTATCATGTTTGCCTAACACACAAAAGGTCCCTGGTTCGAGACCAGGCAGAAACAAGCTGGAAATTTTGGGCCGGCTGTGGCGCAGGTGGTAGAGTGGGTTGGCCACTAATCATAGGGTTGGTGGTTCAATTCCTGGCCCAAAGTTTCCTTGGGCAAGACACTGAACCCCAAGTTGCTCCTGATGGCAAGATAGTGCCTTGCATGGCAGCTCTGCTACCGTTGGGGTGTGTGTGAAAGGGTGAATGAGACACAGTGTAAAGTGCTATATAAGTGTGCCATTTACCACTTATGTTTAGACCGAGTAGCTCAGTGTTTGTTTATTGACCTTGTGTTCGAGTAATAAAGACTTTCATCTGCAATTGCTTCCGCTTCCAAGTCCCGATTCGTAACAATATACCAAAAGCTGCTGTTACTGCCATTACAGTCTACTCCTGCAGTTTTATATGTTACTGCTGCCATATAATCTCCTGCTGTCATTATAACTGTTTTGCTGCTATTATAACATGGCAGCCATTATACAGCAACCGTTACTGCTGCCATTATAATCTTCTGCTGCCATAGTAATCTTGTGCTTCCATTATACACCAACTGTTACTGCTGACATTATAATATACTGCTTCTATTATAAATGATACTGCTGTCAATAAAGCTGCCACTCGTCTTTACAGCAATTATTCTTGCCATTATAACTGTTGCCATTTTAATCATACTCTGTTTTCTTAGTCTCTCTCACCCGGTGTCCTTGGTTTCCTGGAAGTCCAGGTAAACCATCAAAGCCCCTATCACCCTGAGAAGAGAGAGAGAGAGAATAAGGGATGATAAAGAGATAGTCATTTGCACCTTTCATTATTGTTAATGAGCACACACAGAGGAGCTGATTGATGTGTGGGTATGACTTACTTTAGCTCCAGTTTCTCCTGGTTCCCCTCGACCACCATCTGTCCCACCACGTCCCTGACAACAAACACAAACCCTTACATGTAAGCAAAAGCACTTTATCGTCAACATTTAAAAAATTAATTAGAGGTACATGATTATCTATATATGCTGCACCCTTTTTCCTGGTTTGCCATTTGGTCCTGGAATACCAGACAACCCGCGTAACCCCTGGGAGTGAGAGAGACACAAACAGACACAGATCTACTGTTAATCTACATTCACAGGCAATACATGACTTAACATATTCAGTATTTCAGTATGAAGCAGATGCAAACAGCGCCCCCTACCGGTGGGCCAGGCAGCCCGACATCCCCTTTCAGCCCCGTTGACCCCGTTGCACCCTGGGAAAATCAAAGGGTGGGTTAAAACACAACCCAGGTCACATTAAATCTCAATCCTAACAGTCTAATAGTGACTCTGTGTGTATTAGAAGTTTCCTTCAGGTAAATGGAATTCAAATTATTTTAAAGATCACAAAGATCACTGACGCCAACTGGCTACGAGAACTACACAACACACACTGAAGCTGTGAAGAACATAAAACAGGGTATAAATCAGTTCATTAGAGAAAAAAAACTAGTATAAAGTAAAGATTTTACCACTGCATACAAGTAGTTTCATAAATATATATATATATTTTAAATAATAATAATAATAATAATAATAATAATAACATTTGTAGCAGCACACAAATCCCCAATATTTAAAATATAATGATTAGAGATAAAAGCCACCATTTTGTAAACTCACCAGTGGACCTGGTCGTCCTGAGAGTCCTAATGGTCCTGGGGGTCCTTTCAGAGACAGCTGAAACACACACACACACACACACACACACACACACAAGCATTTTCAAACAGCAATACTTTCAGAAATGTGTATCTCTGATAAAGAAGTGGTTTAATTGCATCATAAAATAATTAGTTCTAACACATTCTAATATAATATACAGTGACTTGCAAAAGTATTTACCCCCATAAAAGTCATCAGATTTGTCATCAGACTTCAACTGACATTTACACAGAATGTTCCAAACAGTGTTCTTGCTGCAAACCAATCAGCTCTTAAAGTGCATTCCCAAAGTCAAAATTCATGAATTTAAAGGACTTAAAAACTGAAAAATGGTGCTTGCATAAGTATTTGCCCCCTTCAAACTAGGGCATGGTAGAAGCACCTTTTCCTGCATTAAGAGCTTTATGTGTGTTGGGATGATGGCATGGTTGTGGGGATTTTAGCCACTGTAACTAATGACCTCATTTAAAAAACAATGCTGTTTACTCGAAGTGTGATGTGTTGTATAAGTTGTAAGTGTTGTCTTGCCTTGGTCTGCTGTAGAATTGCCTGAGCTTGAGCTTCTTGAGCAGAAATCACTGGCTGTTTATGAGCATCTCCTCCAGACTGGAACTGAGAGAGAGAGCGTGTGAGAGAGAGAGAGACAGAGTGTGAGAAAGAGACAGAGACAGAGAGTGAAAGAGAGCGTGAGATACAGAGAGACAGACAGAGAGACAGATAGAGAGTGAGAGTGAGAAAGAGTGAGAGAGAGACAGAGACAGAGAGACAGACAGAGAATGAGAGTGAGAGTGAGAGAGAGAGAGACAGGGACAGAGAGACAGAGAGAGAGAGAGAGAGAGAGAGAGAGAGAGAAGTAATAGTGTTAGGGGTCTAAGCAACAAGTATGTTGCAGCTGTTTAAGTAGAGTATATAGAGATATTTTTATTTAATATTAAGTTTTGGAACAATATGTTCTTTGTACAAATATTTTAATAAAATTGGTTACAGTTAAAGTTACAGTTAAAGTTATGAGAGAAGACAGTGGGCCTTGTAAGCCATAGAGATTGCTTCCACTATCCAATTAGAGATGTGCTGCATTGACACAGCATCACTTTTACTGTCGCCGCCAAAGAAGACCGGCAGCTTCTCGGACTTACGCCACTGGCCGGAGCGGTGGACGTAAGTACAGAGACCCCTTACTGGACACAGCAGGTGCATAATCTATTGTTCCAGTGTAAGGAACAGAGGAGGGCAGAAAGCCTGCAACACCACAGAGTGGGCAGCTGATGTAGGCACTTTAGGAATATAATCGGGCCTAGGATACAGGAAGATCTTGGCTAATCCAGGGGCAAAGTCAAGGCAGGAAGGGGCAACAGAGAGAGCTTGTAGACCTCCCACTTGCTAGAGAGATGTCAGGGCCAGTAGAAGAGTTACCTTCAGAGTCAGAAGCTTCTCAGAGGCTGACTCTAAGGGCTCAAATGGGGCCCCTGACAGACCTTCCAAGACCACAGAAAGGTCAGAGAAAGGTATGCGTGGCCTACAGATGGGCCCATGACACCATGACACCATGCATGAACCTTGAAGTTAGAGGATATTGTCCCACAGAGGCTCCATCAACCGTGGCTATCCGAAACAGCGGCCACATAACCCTGATTGTAGAAGGAGCCAACCCGGCTGAGAAACATTCTTGTAAGAACTGTAGGACTATAGCTATTGCGCAGTTCACTGGGTCTAGCTGACGTTCCTCACACCACAAGACAAAAAGCCGCCACTTGAGTGCATACAGTTTCCTTGTGGGTGGTGCTCTAGTGTTTAACATGGTCTCTACAACCTCAGTTGTGAGATCAGAATCTATGAGCTGGTGCCCCTCAGGGGCCAGATCCACAGTTTCCATAGTTCTGGCCGAAGGTGATAAATCAGCCCTCTGGCTTGAGACAGTAGATCCCTGCGGATGGGAATCTCCCAAGGAGTACGTTTGAGCAGGGAAATTATCTCTGAGGACCATATTCGTGCTGGCCATAAGGTGCTACTAGCAGTCTCGGCGAACTCTCCCTAGTACTTGTGGGAGCAGTGGTGCAGGAGGAGTGAGGGTGAAACCATAGCGGGCAGTGTGTTGTCTTCTCAGAGAGTAATACATCCACTTCCGCTTGTCCGAACCTGCCATATGGACTACACCACTTGTGGATGGAGCCTCCAACCTCCGGGCCCCAGCCCCTACCTTGACAGGATGTCTGATCCTACTTTCTGGCTGACCAGAATGTACATTGCACTCACCGACAAGAACTTTCCATCTGCCCAGAGAAGGATTACACCTGCCTGAACAGGGGGCGTGAACGTAACCCTCCCTGAAGGTTGATATAAGAGATCACTGCTGTGTTGCCTGACACAACTACCACATGGTGACTTCTCAACTGAGGAAGAAAGAATTTCACTGATAGGAATACGGCCCGCATCTCTAGGCGATTTATATGCCACTCCAGATGAGGGCCACTCCAAAGACATGAGCTGGACAGCCATTTAAGACTGCACCTCAGCCCGTGAGGGACGTGTTTGTCTTACCATCTTACGGTAAGCAGATGCCCCTAGAGTGTGACCCAAGGCTAGAAACTGCGGGCACCTCCAAATACTCAGAGCACGTAGGCATCGCCACGTGACACTGATTACTCTCAGAGGTTTCATCCTCAGATGAAACCCCGACTTTTCAGCCACCATTGAAATGGTCTCATGTGCAATAGGCCCAACATTATGACATTGGCTGCTGCTACCATAAGGCCCAACAGTCTCTGGTAGAGACTGGAGGGGATGCTCAGGCCTAGCTTTATCGTGCTCAAAGTTGATAGGATCGATCCTACACATGTTGGGATAGAAACGCCCTTATCATAGTAGAATCCCATATAACCCCTAGAAAATTTGTCCTCTTCACTGAAGAATGCATACTTTTCTTGAGGTTCAGCCTGAGCCACAGCTCCTCATGTGGGCGAGAACAACATGTCGATGTTGAACCGCCTGTTCCCTGGATCGTGCTAGAATTAACTAGTCACCCAGGTAGTTTAGTACACGGATGCCCTGGAGTTGCAAGGGATCCAGAGCAGCATCCATGCACTTTGTGAAGGTGTGAGGGGATAAAGCTAGCCCGAAGAGAAGAACCAGAAATTGGAATGTGTTGTCTCCAAATGCAAACCTCAGGAACTTCCTGTGACTGGGCGATATTCCTATGTGGAAATATGCATCTTTCATATCTATCGTCACAAACCAGTCCTCGAACTGATTCTGTGGCACAGTAAGTTTGAGCGTCAGCATCTTGAAACTTTATGTCCGAAGAGTATGGTTCAGATGACGCAGAT